GGTGATGCATTCATTGATCTCTTTCGTCATTTAGAATCTCCTGTTTTTCTTCATAATGGCAAAGGAGACAAGAAAGAAGTGTAATAAAGTTTTGTTTGTTGAAGATTGATTCTTATGTAAGTAGTATTATTGACGCGTATACTACGAACTATGCGTGTTGTAGATTGAAAATGAGGTCTAAAACGTCTAAGTCTATACCATGTGTGACTGACATTTCCTAGGAACACAAATGGCCCCACTAGCTTTCTTGAAACCTAACATTGTTCCTATGCAAGAGTTTTATTCTTGTTTTTTCATGTTCTTGAATGGTTTACATAGTTTCATGGAGGTTGTATCGTTTGACTGACTTTCTAATCTCATTTAAGACTAGTAGCAGGACAGATTCGTTAACTCGATTTTATCAAGACTGATGATATATCAATCTGTATGTGGACTTGAATGTTTTTCTTCTGGAATGTGATTATAAATAGTTTCTTGGAGAGTTCTTTGTCTCTCATATCACAGTAGCTTAACTTTGTTCACTAATGTCTATTGAATCCCACTCTAGATATAATAAACTTGAAAGTGGTTTGAGAATTGGGTTTGAAACTTGGATTAGTTCTTCTTCCTTAACGACATAGGTCTTGATGATCGATGAGAAGCCCTTTTTATACCGTGATTGCTTGTTAGAAGTAGTCACTTTGATTAAAAGACTGATTGACATTTGTAGATTGATTTAGATGGATATGGAACAAACCATGTGATCAACTAGAAACCATTTGGAGGACCCATAAAATGTAAAATTAAGACAAAGGTGTTTGCCCTTTTTCTTCCTCCTAACTTGAGCTGCTGTTGGGGAACAATAACACATGTTTAGATCTGTGATTGTCTTTTCCCACTTTAAATTTCTCATTTGTTTATGTTTCGTTAGCTCCTGAAACAGAATTCTTGTTTTGAGAATCTTTGCTTCTTCTATATGTTGGATATAAGTTAGTGTTATATTTATCTGATTTGCTTTACTTAAGTTTATGAATGACTGATTTTTGCGGTGTATGATATGCAGATGACTGTTTATGCAAACGGGGTTTCGGTATTGATGCCAGGAGACGATGTCCCTACGTTCATCGCTCATCCAGCGCCTGTGCCTTGTCCTCCTCAACCCATCTCGCAGTCTCAGAATCAACCTAGCTCATCAAGAGATTCTTCCAACTCAAACTCCATTCAAGAATGTTGAAGACTGTTTATTTATCTCGATCACCACTGGCTTATTTAAATTTAAACATTCGAGGGACCAACCACATTGAGTTGAGTTGAGTTTCGCATCGGATG